AGGAGTTATACTCATTTAAAGTTTCAGCCAATCAGATTGCAGCGCACGCGCATGCGCGTGATTTCATGAAAAATTTTATATATCATATTGTAGTACATCCTAATGCATGTCTACGTTATAAATTTCAAAGCATTTCATCATAAGACGAAAAAGATATTGAGATTTCTGTTTCAGCCAATCAGAGCAAAGCGCACGTGCATGCGCGTGAGTTCATGCAAATTTGACCATGTCGTCTTATCTATACAATTTATATATCTTTATATAATGAGTTTCAAAACATTTTATCAAAAAATATAAAAGTTACAACCATATTAAATATATCAGTCATTTTACTCATTGCACGCGCCCGCACGTGCATGCGAATGCGCGCAAAATGACCTTCGTTCGGCACATCTACACAACATGCCTACTAACCCTAAAAAGGTTTTAACTTAGTTTGGTGAACAGTTTCTGAGAACACTTCCGGACAAAAAAGTACCGGAGAAGAAATAAGAAGAAAAAAGAATAATAATAATAATAACTAGAAACGATCTCGTTGCGAGCAACGAGAGGTCTTCCGTCCGATTCAGGAAAAGAACCTAAAATCGAGCTGAAAAAGTGATAAAATGAATTGGGTCACAAAGAAAATCCAACGCGCTTTTTTCCTCTTTATTCCCAACACGCTTAAATTACGCGTTTTAGTCCACTGCTATAAATGTACTTGAATATACAACAATACACCTGTCTAAGAATCACGAAATGCGCGCCACTATTTATAATTTCGCGCCAAACGCCACAAGTTAATCTGCGCGCCATTTCTTTGAAATGTTTCATTAAATAGGTGAAATAGCTTCAATAGAATAAAGAAAAAAGAAAAAAGTTCTTTAAGCCTAAATTGCGAGGTTTAGAAAGTATATTTAACAGCTTGTACATATTCTATATCTTATATAGGTAAGTAACACAAAAGAAGTGAAATGGTAATCATTTTTAATTTTTTTTTAATTACCCGTTTATCCCCAATGTGAACTAACCCGATTCTTTACACCTTCATGAAAAAGTAGAAATGGTTCGATGAAAGACATGTCTCACCCTTCGACGGTCAAGGAATCAGATTTCATTTATGTTCAATGTTCAACTTTAAATATCTTTGAGAAAAGAATGTTAATATAAACTCCATTAGACGATCTTATTTAAAAAAAGGTTTTCTTATTTCTGTCTTTTGTATTAGTTTAATATGACTCAAGTGTGCATGGGAAACACAGTGGTTACGTTGTGAAAAACTAATAAATTTTGAATACTGCTCTAAATATAGTTATGTATACAGTACACCTGCAACAGTACACCAGTCTAAGAATCATAAAAGGCGGTTCACTATTCATAATCTGGCGACAAACACTACGAGTAAATATTCGTGCCTATCCTTTGGACTGATCTATCAAATAGGTGTGATAGCTTCAATGAAATTAAATATTAAATAAAACAACTTCCACTTATCGCTTTTATTTTATTTCGACGTTAAGAAAGTAAATTTAACACATTGCATACACGTATCTAGCCCAATTACACTTAAGCAATAAAACGGAAATTAAGTTTTAAGATTGTTACTGAATTGCAGCGTACTACTAGGTGAAAGTCCACGTAGTTTTTTTACTTTTCATGTATCATTTAGTCAAACGCTCAGGTGCCTCCATAAATCCCTACTCGCGAAATGGCGGAGTTGACAGAGACAGCCGCCATCTTGGGTTCGCTTCAGATTTTCAAATATTAATATCTAGAGTTCTGATTAACCAAAATCCAAACAACGTATATAGTAAGCATTGATCAAAGGGTCTCTATTATCATTCCAAAAATAAATAAAAAATGTTGAAAAACAAAAAAGTTAGAAAAATACGAGTTTTTAAATTTGCATCTCGTAACGACCGGAAGTATTGACGACGCACGAAAAGGCGATTCTGCAAACCACAAAGTCATGATCTATCATCTCCAATAAGTCTCCAGTTCATATTCTCTACCATTTTTGATAAAAGTGCGCGACAAAATCGCATTTTAAAATCAGGAAATCGTCCATAACTTGGCACCGGAAGCGAATTTTCCAAAAACAATTACAGACTGCACAACTTCATGTAAAGGCGCATATTTTGTGAAAGTTTCGTGAAAAACCACTGAATAGTTTTCGAGAAATCGCGTGCACAAAATTTTGTCAAAAAAAGAATAATAATAATAACTAGATGAGATCTCGTTGCAAGCAACGAGTAGGTCTTCCGACCGACTTTTCTCCAGCGAGCAAAGCAATCAACTTCTCGGATAGAATAAATCAGGCCACAAATCGTTTATTTGGTGTTAGTGTTCAACATCTAATTTTCCTTTTATCATCAGGGATAAGGTTCATGCCGATTAGTCTTATAAGAAATATTGGAAAAATAACATTTTGTTTACAGTTCTTTGATGTATATTGCATGAGCGTCGGAAGCAAATTGAAAAGGGGGGGGGGTAATTGAAAGTTCGGGGGAGGGGGTGCTAAGCCAACAGAAAACAGTAAACCCCAATTTTCAATGCGTATTTAATGTCTATATTTGCAAAAATGGGGGAGTATAATTACATTTTTTTAAGGTGGCTCATTACATCCACAGTTTATTTTAGATTTCAATACAGCACCCCTTATAATGTAGATGTCAAATATCCAGATGGGGGTATTGATATCAGAAATATATTTTTTATAGAATTTTTTAGTTTTTGTTTTATTTTAGTGAAATGTTTTATTTCAGGTTCATTATTCACAGAATTTTAGAACTTTCAGTGTCAAATGATGGGCATCTTCTTAAGACAAGTACATACAGTGAAAATACCTCATAATACCTAATAATAATTTTATTAGAAAAAATAATTTTCTCATTGAAAACTATTAATGTCATTATCTCTTTAATCTATGCATAAAACATTTAAAAAATGTGTTCTGAAGAGACAATGAATGTATTTCAATGAATTACATGTGTCAAATTGAATGAAGAAAGTTTAAACGAAATGAAAAATCCAATTTAAACTAGAGGTACTGTGAGCGATGAGCTCACTAAATGATACCCCCCGCCTCCCATATGGTTATAACTGGTGAAAAAGTCCATGTTTTCCTGTGGCCGGGAAACTCAAAATATGTGTCGAATCAAAAAGTAAAATAGGAGGTGCACAATGGCAATATGTAATAAAGATTCTGTGAAAGTTTCATCAAATTTCATTCAGTGGTATGAGAGGAGTTGCGGATAAGAGATGGGTACCCCAAAGCGTAACAGACGGACGGACGGACGGAAGGACGTACAGACGGACGGACGGAATTAACGATTACTATATACCCTCCCGCTTTTCAAGCGGGGGGTATAAAAATATTTGGTATAGAAAGTCCACTTTCAAGAGTTATCTTTCCTAATTAGCCAAGACTCAAAACACTATGGAACGTTTTATATTACATATAAAATTCAGAATAAAGCTTTAAATTGCCAGACAATATACATTTAAATCAATAAAACAAATATATAAATTAACACCAACACAGTAAATAGCACAATTAAATAAAATTTTAATTCCAACAAGGTTGTAGATTTTAACTCGAATTTTCTCCATACATCAGGTTGGGACCAATCGCCCAAATGGGATATAATAGTCCGTTTGGGATATAATATCCCAAATGGGATATAAATATACAGTGCAAAAATTGAAAATTTTTATTTTGGCTATAAATATCATAAATCCGCATCAGAACACTTAAAAAGGAATAACTTTTGGTTGACAAGTTTTCATGTATGCCAGTTGTTTAGGAGATTGATCCCTCGGAAGTTCCTTAACTTCTTGGGGATCAATCTTACAAACAGTAGGATTGCAGAAAAACTTGCTTACCAAAAGTTATTCCTTTTTAAGTGTTTTGATGCGGATTTATGATATCTATTGCCAAAATAAAAATTTTCAATTTTTGCACTGTAAATTTATAGCCCATTTGGGATATTATATCTCAAACGGACTATTATGTCCCATTTGGGCGATTGGTCCCAACCTGTACATACATGTCAGTGATTGATTATAGTTCACTGCATGCATCGCTATGAAATTGACATTACTTGTTTGGCGAAGATTTGACAGTTGCTGTGGTTTGTTTCTGCCTAAAAGCAATTCTTCTTGGTTTATGCATAATGAATCCATTACTTTGTGTTTCACTGTTGACAACACCGCATGTTTCATCTATTTTTAAAGCGTTTTAAAGGTCAGGGTCATATTTTAGAGGTAACTATACTACTCGTCCCCTGAGCGAACCGGTCTACAAAATGGAGGTTTAGTTTTTTGTGTAGTACGTCATCAAAAAGTGGTGTAATGAGCCTCCTTAAAAATTAAACTGAACTAGTAGATAACTAAATATCTTTTTCGACAGACTATAAAATAAAATGAAATTGAGATTTTGAGATCTTTTTTCTGCCAATTCTCATGAGATATAGATAATTCCTAATTGCTGTAACAGCTTTCTATATTAAACTGGTTAATATTTTATTTGATGTGTGTACACTCATTACTCCAAAGGCCCGAATGGTTTTATGCCAATAATTTATGACACTATCTTGAATGCCATTTTTAAAACTTAGCAAAACCCTACTTTAAGAAAAGTAAGCTCAAGGACAAAGAAAAGGTAAAAAATGGTGATGTAGTTAAATGGTTCTCATCAGTATTTATTAACAAGTGAAGTTTGGTAAAACCATCTTGAACAGTATGCTTAAAACTGAGCTAAACACTAATTTAAGAGAAATGGGGTCAAGGTCAAATTCAAGGTAATAAAATGTTGACACAGTTGCATAGCTCTCATTAATATCTATCAGCACACGAAGTGTGATGAAAATATCACTGAGAGTTTCTTTGAAACTGACCTTTGAACTGAGCTAAATGCAAAGTGTGACAGAACAACAGAAGACGGACATGACAAACACTATATGGCCCCTCAATATTCCTGGCCGTGCATAAAATTCACTTCTTTTTGACAAAACAAATCCTTTTTCCTCTAAAGTTTGCTTTATTGATAACTTTAAAAATGCATCATCATCCAATATTTAATTTAACAGAATGAATGAATCATATGTGTTTAAGATATCATTACTGAAAAGATAATTTTAGAACATACAACTTTTCCATAAACTTTAAAAATTGAGAAAAATAATGTCTCAGAGCAAGGGAATTTCTCGCCTTGCAGCTCTAAATATAAACATATATATACATATAAATATGTAATATGACAAAATATTCAGGACATAAATATCAAAACTATAATATGCTACAACATAATCAAAAATTAATTTAAGGAATCACTGCCTAGTTAGTAGAGTATGCCAGGGCATCAACGAAACTTGGAAACGTGGGATTTATGCATAATGGGTTTAGTATTTCCTTATATTTCCAATTCATTGTAAAATAAAATAGTAAATTTAGATTATAAGAAAATGTAGAATAATGGATTTAAATTACAAGAGGCCTCCCATTTTAATTTCAATAGTTTCTGTCAACTGACATCAAAATCAAAGACAGACTCACAACATTTACATGCGTTAAGCCCTCTTAAGCTCCTGACCTATTGCTTGGTGAAATTTACATTCCGGTAGAATGATCAAATAATCAACTTGACTAACTTTCAAAGAGACATCACAGAGAAAACAAATAGAACTTGAAGTGTTTAGCGATATATTGTTGTTTAATAAAAATAAATTTAACAATGTTATAGTTACAATGTTTATAATAAAAACACATTGGATCATGGGGACTGTCAACAGACGTACAATATGATAAATAGATAGTCTACAATATTGATGACATTGGGAGAAACATGTTTGTAACACATAAGGAGCAATCAAAGAAATAACAAGTGCACAACTAGTAAATTAAAAACATATAGGAAATAAAAAAAATACTAGTAAATAAACATTAACACCCTTGAGAAAACTTGGGGGGTTATAGGTTAAATATGGACAATATTAATGACATTAATCAAGTTAATGCATGTCAGTAAAGTACTATACCATTGATATATTTCATTTACAAATATCTCAAGAGACTGACCAACTTTCTGATGTTGGCATGTCTACATTAGTCGTATTGAAAATACCTTTTAAAATTTCTTTGTTCACTAAGGTCAATGCCATCTAAATACATAAACCTACGGATGAGTTCCAGGTGATGTCCTGTATGCCATAATTTTCTTTCGTTGATGTAATGGATGTGATTGATATTCCCTCTTCGTTCCTTCGTTGATGGCACCAAGATTCTTGGTACAAGAGCAAAGTCAACACCTAAATTAGTGTTAGATGCAACTGAGAACAATAATACATATATCTAATTAATTTTGACATGATTTTTTCTGATCACCTATTTTTCGTGGTTCAATGTTACTGTAATAACAGTGTTCTTTCACAATCCAAGATAGCTTTTACATGATTAGGACCAGTCTCCATGCCTGAAAAAAAATATAAAATACCAGAGGAGAGGTTAGCTGGCTGAGAACATGAGTACAATAACCAAACTCTGATATATTTCAGTTATATTAGTGATGATTATACAAGTATATACTAAATATGAAGTGATCTAAAAAATTGTTAACATTCAGAAGGCAGTAATATATCATCACAATCCCTATTGTAAAGATAAATTAACCTGTTAGGCATTACTGTTACTTACTCTGATGTCACAATTGTTCCCTTTTCAGTTCCCTTGATGATTTTCCCTCCTGTGAAAGTAATTCCTGAGAAAAGGCTTTGGATTTGGGCACTTCAACACTAATCGAGTTGTTAATAATAATGGTTTAGATTTTTCCTAGAAAAGAAATTTTCTTTTTTTAAAAGGGTACATTGACAGTTGTGGTACATTATACACCTGTACATTACATTATACACCTGTACATTCCATCATAATCTGATCATGTTCATTGAAATCATTTTGATAATGAAGCTATTATTATAGCATAAAATTATGGGAAACTGTAAAAATAGAAAAACTTTGTCCAAGCTTCTCTGTTTAATTGCATAGCGGTATACAGAAACCATTTACAATTTATCAACACTGAAACTATTCTAAATAACAGGTTAATATGTAAATAATTATAGGAAATAAGACATACATTTTTAAAAGTATCCTCCATGCTCAACTTCATGAATTCAACTTCTGAATCAGCAATCTATAAATATAAAAGAAACATAATTATGAAGGATAATTTATTTAACATATATTACAGAGAGAGAGAGAGAGAGCTCATGTAAGCACATTTTACATTTTATGCAGTAGTGAATGGAACAAGCACAAACAAGAGTCCAGGGACAACATTGCTCACCTGAGCACTTTGCCTTTGTAAAAGCAAAATTCATTTCAGTTGAATTGTGGCCCCACCCTACCTCCTGGGGTCATGAATTAAACAAACTTGAATTTACTGAGGATGCTTTCACATCAGTTTTATCTTTCCTTGTGCAGTGGTTCTTGAGAAGAAATTTTTTAAAGATTTTTCCTATGTATTCCTATGTTAAACTTTGATCTCCAATCGTGGCCCCACCGTACCCTTGGGGGTCATGATTTGAACAAACTTGAATCTGCACTACCTGATGATGCTTCCACACCAGTTTCATCTCAGATATTTAAATGTTACTATTTTGGAGGAGCAAGAGTACATAATCATGAAATTTAATTTAATATACTGAGAAGAAAAAAAAGAAGAGACCTATGCCCTGTTCACATGATCGACAAGTTCATACCTGTTTACCCTTATCGTCGTCTCTCAGTATTTTTGATCAGATTTGTCCGTGAGATTTAATATTTGCCAGTAAGAATTGATCTTACGTATATAATTAGAAAACAATTGCTTTTTTGGTTACTAAAATATGGTTAAATATCATGCTCTTTGTCATGATATATCATAGCATTTTTGGCAACTCGAAATCGCCGATGTGCTTGAAATCTCTTTTTTTACAGTGATTAAAGGATGTGAAACTGACAGAGATCATAAGGATGATTCGATTGATTGTTAAATGTCTTTCTCAATATTTTAACTCATAAAGATGTCACCACCTGCTTGTGAAGAGCTGCAAATTTTATCCTTTACACAGCACTCAAGGCCATAAAACAGGGAGAAGTCTGTTTCGTGCAAACACCTACTGTGACACAGTTTGTACGGTCTGATTTGAAGGACGCACAAATGGGATTTGAACCCTCGACGTATGGAGAAGTCCTTACTGTGCAACTCTTAGAGCAGACGTTCTAACCACTGCGCCATGCGGGCGACCAAACCATCACAATTAATTGTCAATGATTGTTGCTGTTTTAAGCCGGCATTCTTTCAGCCATATTTCAGCAGATTATAATGCGACCAACTGCTAAATTCAATACGAACATATTTCCGTCTTTTCATAATAGCAAAACATGAGACGTATTTTGGATTAAAAATCCGTAAAAAATACGGCGAAATTGAAGAGTAAAAAGCTCTGCAAGTTTAATTAGTAGTAAATCAAAACAAAGTAAATTAATGCAAATCAAACTAATGCAAATTATATTGCATTCAGAGTGAAGTAATCTAATGCGAATTAAAATTCTACTTCTACGCTCAAGTGTTAGTAAGGCTATTATGATGTCATTTGCAAATCAGGTCACCTTATGCAGGAGCAGAGGTATTTGACATAATGTTACTAAGTCTATACATACATTTCTGTGATTTAATAACACAATTTTCCTTAATTTTTCACTCAAAAATAGCACAAATACTTAAAGCTTACAACTGACATGTGGCATTTGACCTAATTTTGCAGTTCAAAAAATTTAATTCAAATTAGTTTCACTTAGTGTTCACATGCAACTAATACAAGTAATTTAATGTGCAGTAAATAAATTCAAATTAAATTAATTTGCATTTCACTCCTCATGTGAACACGGTTCAAATTTAATTTTATTTTTAATTTTAATTTGATTTCATAATAAATCATGGATGCTACTGTTTAAATTACTTGTCTCAAAATATGAGTGATTATGGGTAAATTACACTCATTATACAAATGACAATTTCCTTGAAAGAAACAATAGTAGATGCAAAGCTTCATTAACAGGTACTGTTTTGATCCTGCTAGTTTTTAAAGTAATATAGTCAGACCTCATTATGTGGAATACTAGGGGGCCAAGTAAAAAAAATTATCTCTGGAACAGAGAGACAGAGAAGTTTAGACCTTTATCTTACTTCCATAGTCATGGTTTTTGAGATCGGTGTTCTACGATACTGAAGTTCAAATGTAATTACTTCACTCTTTTACATGAGTCTTAACCATTTTTTTAGGTTTGGAGACAAACTGTGTAGTTTTTGCACACAATAGCATTGCAGTTTTGAATTCATGTTCATGTAGGCTTTCCATCAGCTACTATGCTTATTACAAAGGTCAGGGATAGAGAAATGGCTTCCTTATAAGAGTAATTTGTTTTATCTCTTAAATTAACAATATATTTTAAAGTCACAAAGAACGAGAATCACTTCGCTGTGTCAATTGAAAATCTGTTATTTGGGTACTGCAAGCAGCATTATTATTACTATCAACAGAATATTTATTTCTTATACAGTTTTACAATAATTGCCTCATGATAACTGTAATAAGTCGGAAGTAGTGACACATCAATAAGATACTCTTGAAGGCCATACACATAAACATGATCAATGATTGTCCTTCCCTCTGTTGTTGGGAAAGTAACAAGTTGTTTAAATCCATGATCATTCAAGAATTTTTGAATTGGTCCAGTGTCATCTACAGCATTTTCATTGAAGTCCCCCAGTATAATACAATTTTCGCATTCTCGTTTGATGAAATTTGTAAGCTGCTCAAGCGACGATATGAATAAGTCTTTTATCAAAGAGCTGGGTCTATATACTGTCAAAACTGAGATGTTTTCTTGAAAAACAAAAGCAACAACTTCAATATTTGGGACACGAATATCAATTTGTCTTGCTTCTTCGTCATCATGGATATATGTGCCAACTCCGCCTCCATTCGAGTTTTGAATCTTGGAATAAAGCTCATTAGATTTGTCATATGAATTCTTTCTCAATGTGTGCATGAACCTAAAGCCTTGCAGTGAGAATTGAACTGATGATGGTTCTTGCAACCAGGTCTCCGTCAAACAAATAACATTTGCTTTTTGAAATCGTGTATCTGATATCATCTCCTTGAAATTTGCTGGTAATCCTTGAATATTGTGCAATACAATTCTCTTGCAGTCAGGTTCAGCCAAGTTTGTGGTAATTTCAAGAAGTTTTGGCATGTCACAAACTGCATTTTTAACATCTGGGTCTGCATATATTTTTCTCCGAAGTAAATTTTGTACGTCACCTTGGGATGTTTCAAGATGTAATCCTTGTTTTGATGTTACCCGACTAAGAGCTACATATGCTTGTCCTGGTGAAAATACTTTGTCTAGATTCACGACAATTTCATTTGTTGTCATACCTTGCACTTTGTGTGCTGTGCAGGCCCATGATAATTGCAAAGGAAACTGATGTCTCACAACACTTTTAACATGCTTTTCATTTATCTCTTCATCTACTCTTTCAATGAGCACCATGATTCTGCCAGAGTTAATTTTCCTTCCACTTTTCTTCCCAACATCTTTGTTATCAAAAATAACTCCAATGCTGTTAACTTCTTTCTGCGCTCTGTTTGCATATTGGATATCCGATACGAATCCCATTACCCCATTTACAAGTCCGTCATCTACGTCAATATTTCGAGTCAGCATAACACGTGCATTATGTGCTAAAATTATTGACATTGGTAGTCCTTCTGCTTTTTTCTTTGCAATGGGATTCTCTCGCAGGTTTAACTTTCCTGAAGTTTGATCTTTTTGATAATCCTTTGCATTTATTTCAACAAGCTCCTGACATTTTGTGGTTAGCATTGAAAGGTTGTACTTGTTTACTTCTTCATTGGTTGCATATACATGAAGTGCATCTTCTGATCCTTCACTGACACACTCTAATAACATTTCTGCCACATTTGGTTCTAAATTCTCTTTGCTTGTTCTCACCCGTAATCTATTCAAAGCTTCTGCAAAAGTGGCATCTTCACGTTGTCGCATAATTTCATGTAATTCAACAACCTTGAATAGCTCCTTCCAGTAATCTACAGGATAAGTTGAACAGTCATTGTAGAGTCGCTCATTTTTTTTCTGTTTGACAGGAGGTAGCTGATAAAAATCTCCTACAGCAATAACTGACACACCTCCAAATGGGAGTTTGCATTTCTTAATTTGTACAAGACGTTCATGAACATAATACAGTAAGCGTTTGTACACCATTGATATTTCATCAATGATCAATATTTGCAAATCTTCCAACTTCACTCTGATGGAACTAAGGCGTTGTTCTTGTAGAGGTTCATAAGGGATTGGTAAGTACTTTGTGAGGGCAAATGCATGATGCAGTGTGGTTCCTCCTATATTGAATGCTGCAGTACCAGTCAATGCAGTTAAGAGAACTGAGATACTTTCAGGGTTGGTTAAAGTTCTTGAAAATAATCTGCTTGCTTCATACTGAACAGTATTAATCAAGTGACTTTTCCCTGTTCCAGCACCTCCTGTTACAAATATATGAAATGCTTTAGGTTTTTCTCCATGGCATTTCTGTAGGCACCATTCTCGTACAAAATAGAATATCTCACTCTGAGTTGCATTTAAAGTACGGAGCAATGGCAACATTTTTTGGCGTGAATGAGCTGTATTCTGGATCTGGTACAAAAGATCTGCATTATGTTCAATATCTTGCAAATCTGGAACATCTTCTGCTTCCTCTTTGTTTTGCAACACCTGAGATTTTCTTTTCATGCAGTTTTCTCTGCTCTCTTCAGTCTGGGGACATAGTAAAGCCCAGGCATCTTCAGGTTCTCCTATAATCTCATAAGTTTCTTGTGCTTGGTCAATTACATCTTCATTCTTGCAGTAGATCTGCCGGTTCATATCAACAATTTCCCTCACCATCTTCACTTTTTTATCCGATTTCAAACGTACACATCCACTTTCATAAAAAGTCTGAAACAATTCATACTTTGGTGGTTTAAGTTGGTCTTCTTTCCAGTAAGGAAGAAAAAGCTGAAGTGTAGATTGGTAGAATTTTTCAGGCATTTTCTCTTTGTTGAATCTAGGAAATCTAATAATAGCTGG